AGCACTGAGGTCGCGATATAGTGCTCATTGATGGGGTTTTTTTTTCAAGGAAGAAAAAAAAGGGGGGGGGATGCTAGGGCAGTTTCAAGTTGGGGCCTCAAAATACCCTAATGTGGGTCTCAATTGGTCCACGGCGGCGAGTTTGAGATCCATCGTCAACAATATTCACTCAGTTTCTGACCGATATTAATGGCGTAGGGTTTAAAGCACCTCACCATGTTGGATTCTCGTGTAAGGAAAATTTTCATCGAGTAACGGCTCATTCACATAAAATATCCGCGTTTGTGTTCCTGAGAGGGATTTAACGCCCCAAGTATACTGCTCGTATAAGCTTGCACCAAACATCCTCGTTCGTGTAGTATGGTGCTTTCATCTAACGCACGAACGTGTGCCCATTCACAACTATCATCCGACTCATGCGTTACCGTGCGTGTTTTATATCAATAACTTGGAAGTGAGGACTGAGAACACAGTTTAGAGAGTAGCATGTGTGATAAAGAATGTATTACTTATCTGGGCCCTTTCTGTGTTCCCACCAACTGTTCGTGTTCATGCGGTAGTGATACTGTCGTTCGTGCGCATCGCGAGTTTTACAGACTTCAACATAAGTTAAGAACCACTTTCAAAGACTCCGAATTGTCTTCTTGGGTGGACCTGCACGTGGGCGTTCTTGGACTGATCCAGTGGCTTGATGGCGCTGCCTCAGGTGGACAATGACGGAGTGTGACACTGCAAGCCTTCTGGCAACTTTTCGGGCTCCAACTCCATCCTGCAGCCATGCCATAGCTCTGGCACGATCAAAGTCTCTCAGCCTTCGTCTTGGTGGCATGTTGATGCGATACTGGATTTTGGGCAAACGGCGGCTCATATTGCAATCAAAGTGAGCACAGTTCGAGACCGTACGTCCGTTTATGACGTACACCAGAAATTTTAACCGAGGAATGTCCGTGGTGTTGCACACAAGTCGATAAAAACCAGCAAATTTGGTTAAAATTCTCCGAGGATTTCCGTGCTCCACGAGGTGGTTTTGCCCCTTTATGAAGCTCTGCAGTACGCATTTGTAACCCATTTACACTTTAAGAGTAAAGTATTTTGAAACATTCCTTGCTGTCTTTTTTCTGGATTAAACAAGAATGAGGGCTGTCCATCAAGGTGGTCCTTAACTTATGTTGAAGTCTGTATGACAGCCATACAATTTCATCCGTCTGCTCTCGTGTTGTGACTGACCGCTCCTTCACTGAGTCCAATAACCACGAGGACCACGAGGCAAAGTGCAACCATACGCTACTCTCTTAACTGTGTTCTCACACCTCACTTCCATGTTATTGATATAAAGCACGCACGGTAACTCCTGAATAGTCAGAAGATAGGTGTGAATGGGCACACGTTCGTGCGTTAGACGAATGCACGATACCACACGAACGGGGATGTTTTGTTTTAGTTTTAGTAGAGGGTTTTACGGCACTCGCAACTGCATAAGGTCATATGAGCGCTAGCGGGGATGTTTGGTGTATACGAGCAGTATACTTGGGGCGTTATATCCCTCTCAGCCCTTTAGACCTGATCGTTTCCTGAACGTTAATGATTTCCTTAAGAAAAGGACAACTGCACACATTTGTTCCCCGCGTTAATCTAAATTGTGTCGATGGGGGGCGTAAAACACCCGCATTAAAATATAACAAAATCAAACACGGTGTCTCTGCTGCTGCAGGCTGTAAAAGCTGAGAATACATCCAGAGAGACAAAACCAGACTGACAGACTGATTTGCTGTCTCTTGTTTCCTTGTGTGTCATTATTATTTGAAACAAACTTCAAGTCTATAATTTAAGCCTACCTCCTATGTGAAAATTTATAATACGTATCATTACGTTATGCTTCTTTACAATGCAATAGCCTACATAGAACCCCCAGACCCCTCCCCCTCTCTTCCTCCCTCACGCCCCCCTCTCTCTCTCCCTACCTTGGTCTCCCTCTCTCTCTCTCTCTCTCTCTCTCTCTCTCTCTCTCTCTCTCTCTCTCTCTCT